AAAATTGGGCACCAAAACATAATAGGGACTACATTTTTTGTTTTAAGGACTAAAATTGGGCACCAAAACATAATAGGGACTACATTTTTTTGTTTTAAGGACTAAAATTGGACAGCAAAAAATAATGGGGACTCAGTCTGGATACCCATAAACATGGAAGACCAAAAGTGGACTTTGTCCTTTATTATATTCACCGAAAATATACAATATATATATATATATATAATAATGATACTTTTTTTATATAATTCAGTCGTTTCAATTAATTTGTATATGTTAAGTATAAAATCAATAATAACTCAATCGACATGAAATAAAACTCCAGCCACAATATAGCCTTGATCTCATATTTAGACAATTAAAGTTTGAGCCAATTAAATGGCAACAAGTGTTAAATTTCAAGTTGAAGTCAATTTAATAATTATCTATTTTATTTAGAAAATTAAGTAAATTTTAATTCTTAAATTAAATAGTTAAGTAATTAATTATTTAATATATATTGTTGGTCAATTAAAGATCGGCACATGTATATATTTTGAAGGTCGATTAAAGAATGTCGCATATATATTTTGAAGGTCAATTAAAAAATGTCACACATATATTTTTTAATGTCAATTAAAGAATGTCACGTGTCATTTATTGAAGAGTAAAATATATAATTATTTCTTTTAATAATTATTACAGAGATAAATAATAGAAATTATGGACTAATCAAATTGAAGTTTTATTTTATAAGACTTTGTTTCCTAATTATCTCTTTAACTAATTATTAAAATGATAAATATTATAAATTGTGGACCAATCATTATGAAGTATACTTTCCAACACTCTATCTCCCAACACCTATAAATAATTCGACGAGATTCATGGTCTTGAATATCCAAAGGCCTTCTTGAATATTCGAATGAAGATTCAACCGTGTCAAAGCTTGATACCGACGTTTAATCCGGAAACAAGCTGTCAAGCCTCTTAATTACGTTATTTAAATTAAAGACCGACATAGAGAAGATCAAAATCAACTTTTTGGTGAAGACCAAGGACTCGCGTTCTTCACGTTCTTGGGAAATCAAGACGTTCAATTCGAGATCATACTGTCAAGTCCTTGAAGAAACATATTTAATTTCAAATTCAAGACCGCAGATCGAACTGAAAATTCGTATGCAAAAGTCTTATATAAGCCCATTTGAAGATCGTTCTTGAAGAAAATTAATCAAATGAATAATAGAAATTTGTAATCAACTACGCTTTTGACCAGATAATTTTTTAGCTCACAATATAATCCAAATTTAACTCATCACAGTTCTTCTCAATATTATCAATTTAATTAAATAATAATAATAATCAGTATTACTACACATCATATCAATTTTAATTCATTACTCATCTACTCACATAATTTAACTACTTATCACTTTCAGTAATATCTTTTTTCTACTTGTACATCAAATCAATTTTAATAATTATATTTTTAAATATTATGTTAATACAAACACAAATAAATTAAAAAGCTGAAAGCTAACCCAATCATTTTTTTTTTCTGTTACTTTAACTCTGATTATCCAACAGATTCAATCAAAATTAAAATAACTTACTGCCAATAAACTCATTTGTGTTTCGATTTTAACCTTAATTCAGGGAAATAAATGGAATTTGAAACTAAAAGCCTAAAAGTGTGGTGTAGATCAGTAGATATTAAATACTAAATAATACTACCTCATATTTTTAATATATGTCATTTTGAGAAGTTGCATGTTAATTAAGACTATTTTTTTGGTCAATAATAACTTTATTTAATGAAGATAGAGGTGAATATTTTGAGAAAATGTGAAGAGTGAATTTGAAAAGACGTGATGTATTTATTAGCTAAATGAGGGTAATATTGAAAAAATATGTACAAAAAATCCAAAACGGTATTTATTTGGTTAATAGTTGATAAAGTCAAAATAAAATTTATAAAAAATAGGAAGGAGTATGGAGGAATAAAGGCGTGTTGGTTATTGACAATTTAAATTCATACTTAATCCAACTTAAAATAATTCAATCTTAAAACAAATTTGCTATCTTAAATATTATTAGTATAACTAAATAATACAAATTATTTATTTTTACATATTATACCAACTTTAATTCATTACACATTATTTACATAATTTTAATTAATAATCATTAGTTATCTCATACTTTTACCTCAAATCAATTTTAATTATTTTTTTTAAAATATTTTATTAATATTTACTCAAAATTTTACCATATTATTTTTTCCAATTTAACATTGAGTAACCAAATAAAAAAATTTTGAGTGAACAATTTTATATCCAAGCCTAAGACCGACTCTACCCAATACGCAAAACGCAAAATATGCGGTAAAATTTGTCCAACCGTACTACAAACTGATACCCAATTTGCGTTTAAAACTTTTTCTCTCCTAGATGAAACGCAAATATGCGTCAAGACGCAAAAAAATGTGTTCAGACTTTCAGAAATTGCATGTAGGTCCAAAATTTAATAAAACAATGCTTTTTCTACCTTTTTTTAAGTTTAGTTAACAATAAAAAATAGCCGTTAATTTTTTTTAACAAAAATAATGATAATTGTTGCTAGTTAATGAAAACTAGCAGTTAATTTTTTTTTTAAAAAAAAAATGTTTAGTTATAAAATTTATCAATTGAACCTACTTGTGATTTAATTTTATATTAAATTATATATATGCTTTAATGTTGTATTTACAAGAATATTTATTAATGTATATGAATATTTATCAATTAAAAGAATATTTAATATGGTTCAACTTTCAATCAATATTTATTTCTTTTATTTTCTTATGTATATGTATTTTAACGTTAAACTTAATTTTATTACATAAATTGTTAACCAAATTTAAAATAATAATAATGTTGTTTAATTTGTAAAGTTGTAAAATATGTGGGTAGTTTTGAAATGTTGTAAAAGATGATGAAAAGAGAATATTACGGGAATATTTTTTTAGATTTGAGAATAAGTTTTTGATTGGAGAAGAATTACCGTTTGAATTGACATTTACTGCAAAATGAGTTTGAGTATGAATTTTTCGGTTGGAGATGATGTAATAACTTATTACAATAAAAAAACCGATGTTAGGTTTTTTGGAGGTAAAAGGAGCACTTGGTCAGGTGGGGCGCAGCGTAATGCGCCGGACAGACTGTAAGCAGCTGTCAACATCACAATTCTCACTAAAAATAAAAAAAATAAAAAAAATAATAATAAAATCTGAGCTGGCAAACACAATCAGTGAATCAAATATTTAATTTGTCCAGCTGTCTCCCTGCAAAATTTAATTACTGCAATCAGTGAATCAAATATTTTTACTATTCTTTTCCTCTTTAAAGTTTGAACCTCCTTGATTTTTACTGTTTCCCCCAATTTTACTTTTTATAAAAAAAAAAAAAAATTACTTTGAAAAAAATATCCTTTTAAATAAATGATTGTATGAAATTTAAAGTTGATAATTGACCAGAGTTAACTTGGATCAAATTTGAGTTAGAAAATTATAAAAAAAAAATAAAATATATCCATTCAGTCAAGTTCGATTTTAATTTGTAGCCAATGATAAAAAAAAAAACTACCCATTAAATTTGATGTGATATAAAAGTAAGATAGATGCGATTGAAAATTATGGGTTGTTAAAATTTGTGAGTTGATGAATTATAAGATTTGTTAATGTTAATGTGGTGTATGAAAATAATTGTGATATTGTTTAATTAAATCGATAAAAAGTAGAAGAATTAAGTTAATTTTATGTTAAAAAAATGTAAAATAATTATTTAATCAGTCAAAACAAGAAAAATTAATATCCAATCGCACCCTAAGTGTCTTTTAGGCGGCGGGTTAAACGGTTCCTGCAAGTTAAACAATTAAAACATCCATATATTATTTTATTTTGAAAATACAATAAAAATATATATGATTTGATTTCCTTAAATGAAATCATAATAATTATAAGTAAAAATCCTGTTGAGACGAATATATTAGAAGATAAATTTTATTTTGAACAAATCTTGTATTTAAATATATTAATAAGAATATTTTATTTAATGTGCCTTATGAGTTATGATCAATGAATCATTACTTTGAGATTAAAAAAGTGGGGACTAAATTAGATTTGGACAGATAAAAGTATTAGGTTTATAAAGTTGAAAGCAACATTTTGTATTTTGTGGTACTAACACTTGTTAAAAAAAAATATATATATATATATATATATATATATTTTCTAAAAAACAGAATAAATTGGGGAAAATTGAAACCAAATTCTATTAAAATGATAATAATCAACCACTGAAAAAGTCTTTTTACCAACTAAAAACAAGGAGAGATATTCACGGCCCAATGAATTGGACAATTCGATGTAGTTCATTTTAGTTGTTTGTAAAGAAAATTTTAATTCGATTTCAGTTAATTTTTTATATGAAGTTGTGTGGTTAATTTATTTTTTCCTTTTTTCCTTTTTGTTTTGTTTGTTTGATACATTTTTGCACGAAGTGAATTTAATTTAGGACGTCATGAATATTGAAATAGAATTCTATGCAAAATCAACCAAAAACTAAAAAAACCGAGCAGGATCGTGCAGTTTGTTTTGGTTATTGTTGATCCAAACGCACCCTCCACTGAAAACGCGACACACATATGTGATATACAAGAACTTGACCAATTAAGATCGGTCTCCAAATGCTAACGAATTGGAGGATCGTCAGTCAACGCGACTCTACACGAGTAGTGACGAACACAAGATCATCTCACTTAGGGCGCATTAATGACAGACATGACCACCAACTGCTGGGGTGTCGAAGACACGCGTCAAGTCCCCCGAGCCCTGATTATCGTGGAGATTCGAATCTAATCATTAGCTATTAAATGCGGATGTCGCTTCCGAGAAATAGAAAATATTTTGTACTACACATATATAGTAGTTTTGTAGTCTTTGGGCACCTTTACTCTAGAAATTCTACGGCACCAGATGTGGCACATTATGATTGGTGCCACAACTATCACACATCATGTTGTGCCACCAATCATAATGTGTCACATCATGTTATGGCACCATAATATGATACCACATATGGTGCCATAAAATTTCTAACGTTTACTCACCCTTAAACTTCTATTTGAAAAAATAAAAAGGAAAAATACGTATTTAATGATTAAAAATTGTGTACCTAAAACACCTCGTTATTTTATTATTTTATTCATGGTCCGTAGAATCGGCGCCGTGAACTGTAACCCCATGCTCTAGCGCCGTGACACGTGGCGCTAGAGCTCTATCGCCGCACGCTGCTGTTATGTTGCATGAGCAATTTTGTGCCCATTCCTCATGTTTCATGTCTTCAACATAAAAAGTTTAAAAGGCGAAAAAGACATTTTAAAGAATAAATGGCTTTGTTTAGCTGAACTAATTACAAGGACTTATATCAATTGATTTTTTTTTTTATTTTTTTTTCAGTACAATATCAATTGAATTTTCAACTTATCTAATGTTAATTCGAGAATGTTTTTGTAGATAGATTAGTTATACAATAAAATCACTCTAATTAACTAAATGATAAAGTTTTTTTTTTTTTTTTTACTAGAAAAAAATCATCGGCAAAAAATAATTCAAAAATGGACTTTTACGAGAATGATTGACACATGAACTAAGACGGTGTATTCAATTGTGATTTCTAATGACATTTTTCAGACTTTTTAAGATTTGAGGTTTTTTAAAATTTTCAGAATTTAAAGGAATCATGTGAAATTTTAAATTTAGAGGTGAAATTTGAATT